GAGGGGTCCAGCAAAGCCGCTGGACCCCCCCAGCAGACCAGAGACACCCGAGCAAAGCCACCGCCTGCCCCCCCCCAGCAGACCAGGGGGACAGGAGCAAAGCTGCCCAGGCGGTGGGAGTCCCGCTGCCTGGGCGGCTTTGCTCCGGGGCAAACGAGCAAAGCCGCCCAGGCAGCGGGACTCCCGCCGCCTGGGCGGCTTTGCTCGGGTGTCCCTGGTCTGCTGGGGGGGTCCAGCAGCTTTGCTGGATCCCCCCAGAAGACCAGGGAGACCGGGAGAAGCTTTTCTCGCCCCGGAGGACACGGGTGGCGATCCGCCGCCCGTGAGCTCCGGGGAGAGAAAAGCCCCGTTCGTAAGTGCGGATCCGACATAAGTCGGATCCGCCTAAGTTGGGGACTGCCTGTAATATCATTTTCTTTGGAATTCTGAGACACAAAGAGTGAAAGCAGAACAGATCCTGGTATTCCATTTTCAGCCATGTGGGTGAAATTGAGAAGGCCACCTCAATGACTATTGCATCACTTATGTCTCACTAAATGCATTTGAGAGTCCTGTGTATCTGTGACCAATTTATTAACTGTAGCTTCAAAATTCTCTGGTTAGATCATTTGCAGTCAGATTATATGTTAATAGTCCTGTTTTATTGTGACGCATATTCTCTAATCTAATAGTGCTTGTCTTTCAGCCTGTGAAGTGAGAGTTATTTGTACCCCACTTCTAAAACTTAATGAGCACATGCAAAGGTATGCAAAACTGTTTTTGAAGATAAAACAGAACAGTGAATAGAATAAAATGAAAGTTACTCCCTGCAAATTATAAACACATGCTTGGTACCAGTAAAATGGAAAACATTCCTCTGTTCTACTCATTTAATATCAGTAAGTGCTCATGTCCAGTCCAATTATTATCACCTTGTAACTGGCTTTTCGTGTCTCCCGCTACCCACTCCCAGTATTTCTGTATACAGTAAGATTGTATTTTGTGAGCCAAGAGTTCTGCCGGTATAAACTGGGAAAACTCTCTGGATTTTAACAGAGGGCTGCTGATTTATACCAGGGAATTGGTCCATTAATGAATATCAGTCATTACAAAATGACTTATTTATTCGTTCCAGTAAAAGAGGTAGCAGAGGTTGTGACTTAAAGTTTCATTGAGTGCTTATATTCTACAAAAACTAATTCAATAATCCTTGAATGATATGAATATTCTATCACAATTGCTGCCATGATCCAATTTCATTACAGGTCGTTTAATTAATAGCTAACCCTAAACCATCACATTTGAATGGAAACATTAATAACCCAGCCATACCTCTATTCTCCCAATTCTTGTGAAGAAAAAAACATAAATATACATACATTGTTTATATGCCTGCAGGCCAACTGAATATATCTTAGTGCCAGTCGAAATAAGACAGTTGAACACTGCTGAAATTCTACTGAAGTATCTAGCAAAAGGCCTGGGGAAAAGAACACAATAAGTGTTCAAGAACATCTCACAATGTAATAATCAATGTGTAATATGAGCTGGGGGTTAGTTAAATAAAATGTGAAAGCTGTATTAATGAATCTTTTTGCTGTCCAACACAGCATTTCATTTTCTTTCATAGGCTGCATAATGCAGAGCCTGGGAATAAATTATAGATGAAACCCCCATCATATGTTTATAAATACACTAACATTAGCATTTTACTTCCTCATAAATCTGCACCAAACATTCAAGCACAAGATAGAAAGCCCTGTAAAACAATGATAAATTCTCGGCTTGCAAGCCTTGACTAGTGGCCCATTCATTTCTACCGCTGTTCTTCAAACATTACTTCCTTCGCTCATGCCCCCTCATTTAAAATCCATTTTAATTTAAAGATGCTCGATGCACTCCTAGTGGTACATTTACTCATCCTAGTTATACATCATGGAGCAGGGAAAAGAAAATTGTTTAATCTAGAGATATGGTTCAATGTGGTCACCACTGAACAGTGGAGTAATTACCAGATCAGCTCCGCTAAAAATGCACTCAGGGTGTTCTGTGACCTATCATCTTCTAATCTGCATAGTGAAGTATAGCTTCATAACTCTAAATTGCTGACTTAATTAAAACCAGGACCTTTCTGTCATTTAATTACAGGGAGAAAGGTTATTGCTTAAATGCAATTTTCCAAATGTGATTTCTTAACAGTTATTAACTGCTTCACCATCATTTATTGTTTCAGATTTTTCAATTTGAAAATAGTCCCTGTGACAGAAGTAATGACTTCATGAAAAACTCAATCTAGATGGAGCTGAGCAGACCCATTTGTTTCTCGTAAGTAGAGCAGACAGAAAACTTGAAAATGTCACAGGAGGATCCTGTGATTGCTCTCACTTTACAGGAGTAATTACGAACCAAGAGGTTGTATTAAAGGTGAAGAAAAGAGGTTTATGACAATTTCGAGGGTTTTTATTTCTTGCCAAATATTGTGCTTGCATTATCAACTCTATCAAGAGAGACAGAGATTAATAATTATTACCTTCTCCCAGTCCAACAAACAGTACTGGGTCAGACACCTAAAGATGTTTGCAGATTTTCTGTTGACTTGAAGAGAAACTGCTAAATTAAAAAAAAATATTCCGATGTAATTTCCCTCTGCAGACAGAACTCCGGTGTTCTCTTGAAAAGCATAAGTAGGAAATTTAAATGCTCTTCAACATAAGATTTAAATGACAGTTCATTAACTAAAACAAGGTTTCTCATCCACAGGATGTTGATACAATGAGTCCAATTCTCCTCTCACTTAAGTCAGTTTCTCTCCATTCAGGGGAGAATCAGGGTCTATGCCTTCTATGTTGGGTAAGACTGTGGCCACTAACACTAAGACCTGTGGATTAAGAAGGCATTTTGCATGGATGGAGAAGTGTCTGCATTTGGCATAATAAGTGGAGCTGTTCCAAAAGTCTTTGGGCCCGATTTCAGTATATGCTTCAGCTCCTTTGTGCTCCTTTGGGATGCCAAACAGCCATGAATTCATCTTAATTAGCCAGTCCAGTCAGTCAGATCTGCATTGCTAGTGTCCAAAGATCTGGCCCTGTTTGAGTATAGCATATAAACAGGTTAGGGGAGAAAGCATTTTTTTTCCCTCCAGGTAGTCACAACATATAGTTGCTGTCAAGGCTGATTCCCCACTCTGGCATGATAAATACAGAAGTGGGGGCCTGCAAAAGTACCCCAAAACCTTATCTTTCCAGGTTTTGGTATAATGCTTCCCCCCAAAATCTTAAAACCCTAAGACTGAACCCATCATTCTCAGCCCCAACCTACAACAATGATTTAAATGAAGAAAAACAAAACCTATCTGAGTTAAGGACCTGAGCAACACTGGATAAATCTTCTGCAGGATAAATACAAGCTATTATTGCACCTACCACCAATACTGGCTTTTGCACAGCATTTTTTTTTCATTGTTCACCCCTCTTGTTTGAACCTTCAGTGATGAGCAAGGGCAGTTCTTATGCACCCAGTGTCACTTCCTCACAGAATAGATTTTGGCTTGCAATGCTATGGCCAGGAGTTCTAAACTGGCATTTGCAGATGTCAAGGTAAAGAAAAGGTCAAGAAAAGAATGGAAATTTCATATTGATAGCTGTTTGTTATCAAGATTAGTATTCCCCACTTGGTCATACTAAGAATGTCTAATCTTGATAACAAACAGCTGTCAAGATGATATTCCCCACTTGGTCATACTAAGAATGTTTGAATTTTAATTACATCCCATTTGGTGTGATGAACAGCCTTTCCAAAACATGCATGAAAATAATGAGCAAGAGGTATCCCAGATCAGGGTAATCATTGCTATTAACGGGCTTTAGGAAAACAGTGAGGGGTGGCATAAGAGTTGGTTTTTTTACTGAGAATTAATTTATTCTCTTTCCTCCCGTTTTCTGTAGGTATGGAGGCTCCAGTCTTGCAATGAGGACCCTGCAGATAGACCCCTGAATTCACTAACATCACCTGAGAGAAGCCCTGATTATCAATCGAGTGTTGGGGCGATGGCAAGAAGCACTACAGATCTATCAGGTCATTAAGCGTGGAATATCTCCAACTATCATTTGCATAATTAATGAGTGGCCGCATTTGTACAAGAGGCTTTTGTGCAAAAAGGAGCCATCTACACTGCTCCTTCTTATACAAAACCCACCTCTTGCGTAAGAGCAGTTCTGCCGCATTTTTTTCAGGAAGAACTGCTCTTGCACAAGAAGTGGTTTTTGTGCAAGAAGGAGCTGTGTAGATGGCTTCTTATTCGCAAAAGCCTCTTGCGCAAAAAGTAGCTGCTCATTAATTATGCAAATAAGACTCGACGATATTCCACACTTAGTCTCATTTGCATATTACTTGCGCAAAACCAGTGCAGTGTGGTTCACTGTCCTTTAGAGTGGCACTTAGACCACTAAGGGTATGTCTACACTACCCTCCTATTTCGAAATAGGAGGGTAATGTAGGCATACCGCAATTGCAAATGAAGCCCGAGATTTGAATTTCCTGGGCTTCATTTGCATAAGCCGGGCGCCGCCATTTTTAAATCCCGGCTGGTTCGAACCCCGTGCCGCGTGGCTACATGCGGCATGAACTAGGTAGTTCGAACTAGGAAGCCTAGTTCGAACTAGCGGGGTAGTGTAGACATACCCTTTCAGAGAAGGATAAGAATAAGGGAGCTCTACAGTCTAAGCTGAGAGTCAGCTGGCTTCATAGCTCAAGGTATAGTCTAGAGGCTCCTATGCTACTTTCCAGAGGGCCCTGGTTCAAATCTACTTAGTAACAGTTAGTATATATAGCTTCACATCAACCCTGTGAGGAGAAAATGTATTATATTCCCCTATAGAGGATATATCTACACTACATTCCTCCTTTGAAAGAGGGAATGCAAATACAGTGGAGCAAAATTGCAAATGAAGCAGGGATTTGAATTTCCTGTGCTTCATTTGCATAATGGTGTCCAGGTGCTTTTTTGAAATACCCTCTTTCAGAAAAAAGAAAGCAGTTTAGATGTGGTTATTTCAACCCTCCCCCCTTCTTTTGAAATAATCCTAAAACCTCATTTTTTAAGGAGCAAGGGTTATTTCAAAAGAAGGGTTTTTTTCCCAAAATATCCCCATCTAGATTGTGGTTGTTTTTTTCCGAAATATGGTATTTTGAAAAAGCGTCCAGATGCCATTATGCAAATGAAGTGCAGGAAATTCAAATCTGCGCTTCATTTGCAATTTCACTCGGCTGCATTTGCATTCCTCTCTGGAAAGAGGAATGCAGTGTAGACATACCCTTACAGAGCAAAACCTGATACACCAAGTTTCAAAGTGACATGCCTATGGTCAGACAGGAGGTCTACAGAGTAGCATGAAACTTAATCCAATTTTCCCATTTTAGGGTTCTAACCACTGGATAATCCTTCCTTCCTGAGCAAATAATCACAGAGAGTTATTTTTATGACCACTTTTTCTTATTTCCTCATTTTAAAAGATGTCCATGAAGTAATGGTTAAATTCACAAATGTATTCCTTCAAAATCAGTCATTTTCTTGTAATTAATCCCTGGACTATAGAGTGGTTTATTGCAAATATTCACAATTTGTGTAGTGTTGGTTGGTTATAAGGTAATTTCATACAATTTCTGTTCCCTGATTGAAAGCACAGAGAATATTACAATTCAAAATTTGTGCTCTATTTATGACTATGATTGTGGTATTGCCCACAATGTTCTAAGTGTTTTGAACCATAAAAGATACCACCATTGCCCTAAACATAATTTGACTGTGTAATAACAATTTATGCTATGATGGTTACTCAAGCAAGTCACATGGTACTGTTCTTATGCCTGATTTGATGATTTACACAACCAACCAACACTGTGCACACTGAAATGTGTACATTCATGTGTATACAACATGCAATTCATTTTCAGCCATTATTCAAGCATTCTGGTTCAAGTTTTCTTTTTGCAAGTATCTGTGTTAGCAAAGCTTGAACCCTTAAATGTTGGTGTTTAGCTTTGTTTGTGTAGTGGTGGTGAGAGACACCTTGTTTGAGCATAGGTGAGTGTGTATTACCCTAGAACTGTTGATGGCACAGGAAAGAACAGAAATCTGGAGGGATGCCTTGAAGCAAAAGGAGGAATGTATGAAGCTGAGGGAAGAAATGGAAGTGTCTGAAGAATAAAGGAGTGGTAGAAAGGAAAGGCAGAGGCACCCAAGGGAGAAAAAGCATTGACACTAGAAGGGAAGATATAGAAGGAACAGTGATAGAAATGTAGCTGTGTTAGTCTGGTGTAGCTGAAACAAAAAACAGGACTATGTAGCACTTTGTCCTGTCTTATAGAAGGAACAGAAACTGTCACTGGAATCAGACTAAAACAGGCCTGAAGAAGCAGTGCCAAAAAACACTGAAATGACAAGGAATTTAAATGCAGGCGGTCCATCCAGCCAAATGACTTGAGAATTGGAGATTATATTTTAATGATGCAAACTGTCATCTAATCTGTTTAGTTAGAAAATGATATTTTTGAATTCTATGGTACTCCTAATAAAATGGTGGGAGTTTAACTTTCGGAAATGTTGTGAACTCATTTGATATCAGAAGAAAACTTTCTCTCTGTGAAGCAGTGCAGGTTCCCAAAGAAAGCAATGGGACACTTAGCTGTATTTAAAATGAGATTAGAAAATAGATAGCAATGGGCAATCCCGCAGTGGAAAAGTATAGTTTGGAAATAAACTTTTTCCAGTCCAATCTTTATGAGCAAGACAAATCTAGCTGAAGCTCTGCAGAACCATCTGGGAAGACTTTTGGACTTTTGGATTGCATGAAGTGAAAGAGATTCAGTAGAGATGGTGGCCAAGGTATTTAGATGCCCTGGTACCTCTGCCATCAGACTCCAGTGCCTGGCTGGGGAACCCAGGCCCACCCATTAAACTAAGTTCCAGGCCAGGAACCCTACAACCAGCTATCCAGGTCTGTTTAGTCTGCCCCTATTGCTGTTTTCCTGGGCTCCTTCCTACCCATTGCTACGTCTAGACTGGCATGATTTTCTGCAAATGCTTTTAATGGAAAAGTAACTCAATTTGCGTAGCTTATTTTGAGTTAAGCCCTGCTGTGTAAATGCACCCTTATTGACCTCAGGTCCTCGTTAACCCTACCCGGGCTGGTGGAACTCATAACACGGTCACCAATACCTTCTTTCCGCAAACTTTTCCCAGACGCCGTTTAGCTCAAATGTCCCTGCATGGATGACTCACTCAGAAACTCTAATTTGAATGTGTCTGTCTTCAGTGGAGAAAAACTGGTGCAAAGTAGTCTCATATAATGAAAAAGAAAATGATCTAAGCACTGGCCTCTGCTTTACCCAGTTAAACTGAAATCAAGAAAAAAACCTGAATTAATTGAACATGTAGCTGGGATCCCTCATTTCCCCCACAACAGAATGGAATCCGCAAGTAGAAATGCTCAACATCAATGTTGTTGTTGTCATAGGGACAATCAACTCTTTGATTTTAGGAGAATGGAGAGCAAGGGGGAAAAAAGTGCTCTACAATTATTAAAGCTACATCTACACTGCAGATCTACCGGAGGTATCCTGGAAAAACTCTGCAGTGTCCAAGAAATGCATGTGCTTTTTTGGAACAATTTCCGAAAAAGCAGACACGTTCTTTCGCCATCTCTGTAATCCTGTACAATGCTAAAAGAGGAGGTTTTTCCAAAATTTGGCCCTGTGTAGATGGGCCAAATTTTGGAAAAGCCTCTTCTGAAAGAAAAGCGGAAAAAGATATGCAATTGCGATTCACAATTTGCATATCTTTTTCCGACTTTTCTTTGCAGTCTAGATATAGACTAAGATACTACATTCGAGGTAACCCACTAACACCAAATCCAGCCATCACTTATACCTTTGCAACCTTAATGGGTAGAATTTGAGCCAATATCAGACTCTTATAAAATTGTATACAACAGATTTTCTCTTAATTTTATAAAAGCAGACACCCAAATAGCAAAAGAAGGCTGTAAATTGATTAACATTCTTTTCTTTGATATCCGACAGTCCCAATCAACTTCTTATCATTTGGGAATAGATCCCCTGCCCACCTATGCAAGAAGACTTCTTACAAATATATACACAGCTTTGGTTTTATAATTCACAACAGCTATTTTCTGTGGTGTATGAGAGAGTGTGTGCTTACAGATCAGCTTATCGTTCTGCTTTCTGGTCTTTCCATGTTTCCCCAGGAATAACAATACAGATCCATCACAAAAACAACCCATGGATTGCTAACCATGCCATTATTCCAGGATATCATGGACACTCTATTAATAGCCTGAAATGCAGAATAAGCCTTTTTTTGGTAATGTCCTATAGTTTTCTCATTTGATAAACTTGCAACTATTCTGTTTCCATTTAGGATTATTCAGAAGTCAAAGCTCCAGCTATTTTTGTCGGCAAGATTCAGTTTGGAAACTGCAGAATCTTAACACTCTAACTGCATGTCACTGTCTCATCACAATCCTAATTCTATGTTCCGATAATAAAATTTCATTAGTGTCTGCACATCTTTTGCCTTACCTTTGAAGTACTGTCTTGTGCTGAAACGATTAGCAGTACTTTACGTCATATCACTTGACTGTTTGACAGCCATTGTGAGCGAGCTAAATGGTGAGAAATTAAAATTTCTGACAATTTCCATTACCTCTAAATTGCTGAGAAATTAAAGGATATTTACTTTTACAAATATTAAAGGTTGTTTAAAATGTAAACTGACTTCATTTCATTAGATTCCCCAATGTGCTAATTCAAAATGACTACACAACCTTATTTGAATAAATTACCAACTCATTTTCCCCAAAACAGAGGACATTTCCTCCAGGCTGGGTTTTTGACTGTTTGTGTCAGTGCAAAAAGAAAATAAAAACGTATGAATATTTCAGAACAGAAGATCGGTGAATTTCTCCCTTGTTTCATCAGAGGAGAATAATGAGGTTTGTTATTCGAGGATACTGATTTTTAGTAATTCACCAAGGAGCATGCCATAAAATATTGGTTTAATGATATAGCATTAGCTTACTTTGGGAAAAAAATACCTGTGATTAAGTCAATGAACTGTTTTTAAATAGCATGACATTGATTAGTTATTTGGAATGGGATGTTAAAGGCCATTTGTGCTCTGCTAAATGGCAACTGGTTGGGAGTGGACGTTGGAGGGGTAGTTCAGTAAGGTACTCCATTCACAGGGTAACATAGGTGCATTATGGCAGTGGGAAGGGAGGCACTGGCATTGCTCTGAAGCATCAGGTACTGGTTACTGCTGGAAGCAAGAGGCCAGACTAAATGGACCAAGGCTCCGATCCACTGGGACAAATCCTGTGTACTTAATGGTGTCTCTCTCCGTGTTCACAAAGCATTGCTTTGAATTCTCTTTTTACTTTGTCCTTCGTCTTCCATTGTAGCCGATCAATCATAGGAAATTGTTTTTAAGGTTATTACCATACTTTGATAAGGTGCATGCATGTCTGGGTGGAACACCATGCCTAGAGAATAGTCATCAGTGGCTGAAAGGGCATGCCAAGTGGGGTCTCACCGGGATCAGTCCAGGGTCCAGTTCTATTCAATGGGCAGGTCTAGACTACATTCCTCTGTCAACAGAGGTATGGAAATAAGGCACTTCAAAAGTGCAAATGAAGCGGGGATTTAAATATCCTGCGCCTCATTTGCATAATCAGAAAGTAAAACCACGATCTAGACACGGTTGTTTTGAAAACAGCAGGCTTTTTTGAAAGATCCTGTACTCAGGAACCATTTTTGAAGGAACCGCATCTAGATCATTAGCTTCTATAAAACATGAGAGTCTCTGAAAGCTAACTTCAGTTGTATAACCAAGATGAGCAAGGATGAATTTTAAGCCACTTCCTCCTAACTTTTTTTACTCTCCTTCCTTTCTTTCAAGGTGATCAGGATGTTTGTCCTATAGCCAAGTGCTAGCTAGGAACAAGAAAAATACTTGAAAAAAGGTAACAGAGCAGCGAATTCATATTCTGAGTTCAAGAACAGGAAACCATAGACTTCCCATCAACGGCCACGATTCTGTATTCCATTTTACATTTAAGCTAAACAATCTCTTTTATGAATTAAATTTTCCTCACTACTACAAACATTTTATTGCTGTAAATTAATTTTTATTGCAGAATATGCTACAAGCTTATGAAGCAAACTAGGGGTATGTCTACACATCAAAGTTAAATCGAAATAGCAGCTGTTATTTCGAATTAACTTTCCTAGCATCTACACAGGTAAACTGCTATTTCGAATTAAATTCGAACAAGCGGGGCACTTAATTCGAGTTTGGTAAACCTCATTCTATGAGGAGTAACACCAAACTCGAATTAGCTAATTCGGAATAAGCGCTGTGTAGATGCTTAGTCCAAAATAGGGGGCTTCCAGCCTTCCCAGTTCTCCCTGGTGGCCACTCTGGGACAAACCAGGAAAACTCTTCTCCTCTCCCCTACATCCATAGCAGAGCCTTAAAGGAGTAGACTCTGGCCACACTGCTGTGTCATAGCCAGGCCTGCCAGCAGTCCCAGACCCTCAGCAGAGGCCACAGCATTAGCCAGGCAGCCAGTGGCAGCAAGCTGTCCCCTGCCCAGTCCCCCAGCATCCAGGAGACAGCCAGGGGCCATAGACGGAGGGCACCCTCATGGACTAGTGCAGAGATCATGGACCTCATTGAGATTTGGGGGCAAGACCCTAATGTCCATGATCTCCGCACTAGATGGAGGAACGCGGCCATCTACGGCTGCATAGCTGCCACCATAGCCAAGAAAGGCCACAGGCACACCCAAGAGCAGGTGCTCCTGAAGATAAAGCTGCTGTGGCAGGCATACGCCAGGACCACTCGGGGCAGCTCCTCAGTAGGGACAGACACCTGCCCCAACTTCAAGGCACTGGACCGGATCCTGGGGGGCGGGATGGTCCATGCCACCCTGTGGGGCAGCGAGCCAGGACCGAAAGGCCCTGACCAGGGTGCAGAGGAGGAGCCGCCACACCACCAGGACCCCCGAGCAGTCCCACCTGCAGAGTCATCAGGGTCATCCAGGGAGGCCACACCATGTAAGTGCCATCACTGTCCCCTTCCCAGGGGGGGAGCGGGAAGAGAGACCAGGGACCGCGAGTGTGGGCCTTGCTTACCACAGATCTCACAGCAACCTGTGCACGTGAGAGCACGTGCCATGCCACCCCTGGGCAGGTGACTCCAGTTGCCTGCCACTCAGGGGCCATGGCCTGATAGCCACACGTGTGTGTGAAGAGACCTGACATGCTCCTGACTCCAGGGTGGGACACAGCAGGACACCTCCCTTCACAAGCCCCCTCTACACAGAGGCAGGGGAAATCTCTCCCCCACCTTGGCCACACTATACACAGCACAGGGGCATGGGTGCAGTCTTGGGGCAGCTCCCACTCCTGGGGATAGCCGGACATTCCGACCATGGCCTCTGTGCAAGCAGAGCAGCTCTGAGGGTGCAGGGCATGGTCATCCTCACCTTGCAGAGGGGGGCTGGGCTTCACCCACTGTGTTCCCAGGGAGAACTGTCCACTTCTCTTCTTTCTCCATACCTGCACCAGCTGCGTGTGCAGGGTGCGCCACCCCACCCGGGACATCCTTCCGCACCCAAGGGCTGAGCAGGACCACCCACAGACTCGACGGGTACAGACAGCAGCACCTGGAGGCCGTGCAAACCATGCACTGCACCATGCAGGAGTGGGTGCAGGACGACCGGGAGTTCTGCCGGGAGCTGCTTGCCCAGGCTCGTGCTCTCTGCAACCACAGGCAGACCCTGGTGCAGAGCGTGCTGCCCCATGCTGTTCCAGCACCTGCTGCCTCCCGAGTGAGCGCTCCTCCTCCCACTCTCGCCTCTCCCTCCTCAACCTCTTCCTCAATCTCCACACCCCCCACCTCAGCCTCCACACCCTCCTCCCCAAGCCCCTGGGGACGCAGAGGCCCCCACACCCACGGTGCCGGGAGTCAGTTGGCCCGGCGAAACACCCACC